TTTCCTGTTATGTATTGTTTTCTACCTTCTCCACTGCAACGGTTTCAACCACAATGAAGATATCGATCGTAATCTAAATGGGAGGTACAGCTAAAATATGCTGCTGACTAAACGTACGCAGGGGACACTGCGATCGTGAATAGAAAAGGAGCCGGGTCTCTTCACCATATAAGGCTTACCCGGGCAACACAGCAGTGAAGGCTGCCAATTCCTTAAAAATCAGAAGTTAAAAGTTATGAAGAATTCTTTCGGCACGCACAAAGAGAGGAAGATGACCACTTTAAATATCTCGGTACATTCTTCTGAAAGCGACAGCACCTTCCAATCAGGACGGCTCTTACTTCTAGTGCCTGTCATACCCTATGCTTGATCTATGAAAGGAACGTCTTCACAAAAATCTGAAGACATATTAAAGACTGAACAACGTGGCTCGCTTCGATGCGCAATGGAGGTTAAATGGTAGAGACAGGGGAGGAATGGATCCCTTCTTTTTTTGATACAGGTATGCTGAACAGAGACAAATATGAGGAAAAGCAAGTTGACCATATTAGACTAAGTGATGGAGAATAAACGTTTCAGCGCAATCAGCAAGAATCTCATGTAGAAGAGCAAAATTTCCTGTACATGGCAATTGTGTACTGGAGACAAGAATGAAACGCCGATGAACTAGTTAAGAAGACCACGCCAAGAGAGAACTATGCCTTCGATGAAGCAGTAGATAATGCCTTATAGCAAAGTCTTCAGAAGCTCATAATCCAGTGATCATCACAAACCGGAAATGGTTTTATGCAAGTGGCTCAAGATGATGTTATTAAAAAACAGAACACAAAATTCTTTTTTCATACTAATGCACAATATTCTTAATTATAGAAGATTTTCAGAAGTTTACTCAGCATGCAGATACGGCATAAGTGATTGCCGACAATTATTTAAATTACACTCATACACTGTTGTAAACCTTCACCTGAACAAGGATGAAAAATACGACCCGAAAAGACGAAAATAACAGTGTATGCAACATATGTCTAGCTACTTGAAAATTTGGCGAGTCAGTGGGTTACTGATAGAGGAACAACCTCCCGATATAGAAATTATCTGTGACAACTAAACAGTCACGGACGGACAGAGGTGAGACCATCAGGCATGGCTGGGTTCGAGCTTGGCAAGTTCGTCCCTCAGAACAAAGTCACGATATCGAGGCGAAAGCCATCTGCTTCTCTGGAAAAAAATGGTCGCCAATATCACCGCTGCCTTGTGGTTAAACCTCGATTCCTCAAAGGTGTGCAGAGACTATTTCATTAAAAAATATGCACCCGGGCAGAACTGGAGATGCGTATGTACGAAATTTCCCAGGCCACCGTTAGCCCTGCTAGCCGATGGCAAAATTTCACACGCCATAACAAACTACGTAACCAGGTGAACAAAGTTCAAGCCGAGGTGAAAAGCGGCGATCTGATAAACAGACGTGAGCTTCTCACTGCTTGTACTCACAACTGTATAGCAATAGCGAGAGAAGAAACGATAAACCAGCTAATGGAGGAAAGGTCAGGGATAGCCTGCGATAATCTTGGCTTCCATGAGACACTATGACGGAGGAGGATGAATGGCGTCTGAAAAGGCGGTAGTTCGATTTGGCTAGTTTGAGAAGAGTCCACCAAGACCGTAGGAGGATCAGATTTGTAGTCAGCAAAAGCAGGTCCTCCAAAATCGTCTCCTGCCATGTGAAATCCCCGAAAGAGGAAGTTTAGTGCCTTGAAATGAACAAGAACAGGACCTTGAAGATCTTCCAAGCTCATACTCCAACAGGTACAGATGACGAGGAGGAAGTGGAAGAGTTCCAGCAAAAACTGGAACAAGCACTCATCCAGCGTACACCCTCGTCATTAAAGACCTCAATGCCAGGCCAGGAAATGTCCGTCGGAAAGTACGGACTGTAGAAGGAGATGAGTGAAGGACTGGCTCGTAACTATAGCAGAAACTAAACATTCGTACACTAGCAACACCTGGTTCAAAAAGTAAACCAACAGCAGGGGGCCATGGCTCGCACCCAATGCGACGACAAAACCAAGATCAACTTCGCCCTGCTCAACTCACACCGTATCACTCTAGGCATAAAAGAGTGAAATCATTTTACACCGACAATGACAAAAAACGGTGTGGCGAGGCTGACCCTCAGGGAGATAACCGAGAGAGTCGAGAGCAAGGCACTGCCGATGACAAACAGCAGACAACAACC